TGACAGTCCGAGTGTTTGCATATGATGATTCAAATGACAGAAGGCATCTTAGACATCGTAGTTCATCCCTACTGTAGACCAACAACTGTTTGGAATCAAGCTTTGAAGGGTGAATAAACGCCTTGGAGTGAGCCAATCCTGGAAGATTCTGCCAGAAGTCCATAGTTCTTCTTGCCATGCAGGGGTTCAGTGTTTGCTTGGCAAAGCCCAAAGCGATGCCAATGACAGGTTCTGGTCCAATGAAGTCGCTTGCAGCACCCTACTTTGCAAGAGAGTCAGCAGTTTCATTGCCCTCCAGGCTAGTATGACCAGGAATTCAGACCAGAGACAATCTGTTAAGTCTTTCTATCGAGGAGAGTCTTTTTTGGCAATTTGCTACCAATTTAGACGTTGCTCGGTAGGAACCAAGAGCTTCCAACGTCTCTTGACTGTCCGAGATTATTTTTATTGACTTGTGAGTGAGTTTGGATTTGTACCCTTTCTAGATTTAGGTAGTGCATTGTCAAATGCTCCTTCAATATCAAGAAATACAGCAACCGCAATCTTTTTGTTGTCAAAGGATTGTAAGGCTGATTGTTCGTACCGATTTGGGGTGTGGGTCTCTCCGGCCCACTTTAGCTACCAACCCTTGCTGCCAACCAACTGGGTGGTGGTGGTGAAAAAGAGCTGGAATTATACCATCCTCTCCGGGAGAATTGGAGGGCTGAAAAGAATTGATAGCCCATTACACTGCTGGTGCTGTAATAACCTTTTTCGTGATGTCCCAGTCTTTCTTTTTTGGGCGTTTAGCGCCCTTGAAGACGAGCGGTCTGTTGTTATCAAGAGTCAGATTTCCAATAAAAGTGGAAAGTTTCATTTCTTTCTTCTCCAATCTGTTAAGTCTTCCTATCCAGAAGAGTCGTTTCTTGGCAATTTGTTACAAATTGAGACGTTGCTTGGTAGGAGTCAAGATTCATCACTTGTGTGCGAGGCTGGATTTATCCAATCTGTCCGCACACAATTAAATAACGTAAATTTCCGATTGAAATACAGGCGCATAAGTACCTAGGCAGGTAGATAAGTCTGTCCTGGGTCTGCGACTGAAAACACCTGCACCAGAACTGGAAGGTGTTTTTGATCCATCTGTGAACCAACAACTATCTGCTCTCAATATCTCCTTCTCCCGGGGGATCCAGTTCTCTCTACTCGAGAATAGTTCTTTATAAGGCAGTTCGTAGTTGACAGTTGCAGGCATAAAGTTAGAGGTCATTTCCAGATTGCTGTGACTTCCAGTGTCAACAAACAATCTGTTGGCACTCTGCATTGAATTGATTTGAGTAATTGACAATGTGCACAAGTCTATATGCAGTCCATCTAGCCTCTCTCTCCAGAAAAATGTGAAGAGGAGGTAGATCTAGAAGGATCCCAATGGCCGCTGACGGTGTGATACTGATGGTACCACTGATAGCTAGGCAATCCTGTCTCTGTATGTCAGAGAGTTTCGCTTGGGCCGTTTTATCTGAAGCTTTCGGTCACCAGGCAATTGCACCATAAGTCAACATTAGTCTAACAATCATCACTCAAATCCAGTGGATTTCTTTGGGACCTAAACCCCAAGTTTTACCACAAATCCTTCGACATGTCCATAGAGACAGTCTGGCTTTGTGTGAAACTTTTTCCAACTTTTCCAACTGTGAACAACGTCTAACTCGCTTTGGAGGATATTACAAGCTAATATTTACGACGTGGATCTTGCCAGGATGACAAGGTCATCTGCGTGAGCTTGCAGATCAACTTTTCTTCTGTCGAGGGCATCAAGCAGTCAGAAGCGACCACAGAAAGGGGGATAGTACCAAACATTAGGGCAGCCCCTGGTGACCCTAAACCTAATGGCCTTGCCTTCAAGAGTCGTAGGTACAGTTCTGTTTATTAGCATGGAATAGATCCAGCCAGTTATGGTCGATTCTACACCCTTCCTAGCCAGAGACAATCCTATAGATTTATGTAGTGCATTGTCAAATACTCCTTCAATACCAAGGAATACAGCCACCGCAATCTCTTTGTTGTCAAGGAATTGGGAGATTCTTTCAAAGACTTCGAATCCCAGGATTTGTATCTTGAATGTTTTAATATAACGTTATCAGTCGGTGTCAAAAGCCTTTGACACCGTGGATCATAAAAAACTTCTGAATACATTGGAAAATAACGGTATTAGGGGCAATTGCCTGAAACTGTTCGAAAGCTATTCACTCAATAGAGAACAGTCAGTAAGAATCGAAGGGATACAAAGCGAGCCGAGAAGAGTAGAATGTGGTGTGCCCCAAGGTACAATCTTAGGACCAACTTTATTCAAAAGTTTTACCACAAATCCTTCGACATGTCCATAGAGACAGTCTGGCTTTGTGTGAAACTTTTTCCAAGTGAGCGTTCCAGGTGAATCTTCTGTCAAGAATAATGCCAAGATATTTCACCTCCGTTCCAAATGAAACGATCTTCCCATTGAGGGAAAGTAGCATTAGATCGTTCAATTTTCACATCTTGGTGAAGGGGATTAGGTAACACAGTTTTGCTGGGGTTGACAGATATCTACTCCCTCAGGCACCAACTGTGAACAACGTCCAACGCGCTTTGAAGGATATTACAAGTAATCTTTCCGACGTGGACCTTGCCAGGATGGCAAGGTCATCTGCAAGAGCTTGCAGATCAACTTTTCTTCTGTCGAGGGCATCAAGCAGTCAGGAGTGACCACAGAAGGAGAGATAGTACCAAACCTTAGGACAGCCCTGGTGACCCTGAACCTAATGGCTTCGCCTTCGAGAGTCGTAGGTGCAGTTCTGTGCATTAGCATGGCATAGATTCAGCCAGTTATGGTCGATTCTACACCCTTTCTAGCCAGAGACAATCCTATAGATTTACGTAGTGCATTGTCAAATACTCCTTCAATACCAAGAAATACAGCCACCGCAGTATGGAAACGGTCTTTAGGTTTCGACATCTGAGATTTTGAAAAAATGTTTTTCTCGAGTACGCATCTGACTCATTCGTCAACTCTCCACGAACCGAATTATCAAAAGGTCATGAATTGTATAGGATTCCAGCCATTAGTTGTCACCGAATGGAACACCTCATTTCCCTATTAGGTATTCAACTCGATATGAAAACTAAAACAAAAGAGTGAGAAAAATATTCTTTTCCCTCCGCACCCAATAAATTTTCATCAAATCTAAAGAAAACACGAAAAATATGCGAAACTTGTAGAAGAAATTCATTCATTGTTCATCTGAACTCGCGTAGTTAGCTAGTTCTTTGTTACTTTGATGATGGAGCAACAAAATATGTGGAGAAAGACCGACAAGTGCTCTCATCTATCAAGATATCATAAGTTGAAAGTGGTGTATCATAACATGTTATTCCTTCTAAATGAGTAGAGAAGAATTGATATAATTTTGGCGGATTGTTATAAAATTATTTCAAGATCATCAAAGTTGAGTTTTATGAATTGTAGTTTTCCAGTTCTGAGTTTGAGCATGTGTTTTATCATTCAGTACATTCATACTAAACGTGTTTACTTGAAATTTACTATTGACCCGCCCGGCGCATTCGCCAAAATAATTACTGTTTTTAGAAACTTCTTATGTCTTTTAATACAACTAAGTATTGTTATTGTGTATTGTTATTTATTTAAAAATGCCTTACACTACTGCTGAAGGGGTTTCAGGTGATGCTTTATTTTTTGGCAACGACCAAAATGCTAATAGAACATCAATTTTATTTAACGAGCAAAACTCTTTTGAACACCTATGCAGAAATCACGTTCTGGATTTGGTCACAAAATTCAGGGAGACAGGTTCGGTTTTAAATAAGGAAAGAAATGTTCAGAGAAGGGTAGTGAATGACGATAATGCGATTGGAGTGATTGGTCAAGTCAACGCCAATCCCAGGTTGAGTACCAGAGGTTTATCAGCAGTGGCCGGAATAAGACATATGAGCGCATGGAGAATCCTTAAAAACCACAAATTCCATCCTTACAAAATCAAACTTGTTCATGAACTCAATGAGGATGATTTTGACCGAAGACAGGAGTTTTATGGGGGCATGAGTGAGAGATTAATGCAAAATCCCGAGCTGTTTTATAACATCTGTTTTTCGGACGAAAACTCATTTTATTTAAATGGTTGCGTGAACCATCACAATTGCCGTTATTGGTCGGATGAAAACCCAAGACAATACGCAGAAATACATACCCAACATCCCCAAAAGTTGAATGTCTGGGCCGGAATATTAGGCAATCATAGTATAGGTCCATTTTTCATTGATGGAAATTTAACCGGTGATTCTTATTTACAACTTTTTGATGAGGCAATACAACCTCGTATAGCTGAAATAATTGAACAGAGTTGAACTTAATAAAAATACCTGAAAACTTTAAATCATCTCGAAAACTAATCGTAACAAAAATTTTCTTTTGACAGAGATGTAAAGGTATTCGAAAGACCTTCAAAACAAGGTGCCACTCGACCTACTTTCCCTATCTGAATAAGGGTCGTCAATGGGGTGCGTACTACAAAAAATCTGATTACTCTGAAAGGTGTCCCCCTTTAATTAGAAATCGACGTGTCCGAGCTTTTTTTGAAAATCTTACTTATTATATTCAAAAACGGCTCTGTTAAGTTTTCATTATTACACACTGTATATCCACAGAAATATTACAGTCTGATGTAACGGACAAAACTTTCAAAACTACCATATAAATATTCACATCATAATGAGATTTTGGTATTCATTTACATCCAAATCATCCAAAGTATTACTAAAATTTATTCAGTATTTTACTGTGTCCATATACTAATAAACTGTTTCGAACATTAAAAAGCATATATAATTATACTTCAACCAACCCTACGATTTGTTTCAATTTTTTAACAACCCGTCCCTGTCATTCACCGCTGCGCACTACTATTGATTTTACGCGGAAAACTCTAACAGCACCCGCATCCTCTCAGGACTCGCAGCCTGTGTAAGGATCTCGACCTCTCAGCCACATTCAGTCAATGCCATCGTCATGATTTTTTTCATTTTTGTCCCAATCGGTACAGGATAAAAACCCGAGAGTAATGGCAATGTGTTGCTAAGTGATAGTTATTTATATGTGATAATGATGAAGGTGGAATGGGTGTTACTTATTATTTTTATATTTTGTGTCGATTATTCATTCAGCAATCCTGATGCAAAAAGACTGTATGACGATCTACTAAGCAATTACAATAGACTGATCAGGCCAGTTAGTAATAATACAGACACTGTTTTAGTGAAGTTAGGATTGAGATTATCCCAGTTGATTGAATTGGTAAGCATTTGAATATATCTAAATTTGTCATATATCGTGAATTATGAATATAATTGGAGAGAGACACCGAACCGTTATTTCAACACCTCAACACGTGTTTCGATCACCAAGAGATCATTAAACTGGAAGTTCAATCTCCATCCTGAAGATGATTCCATGGTGATCGAAACACGTGTCAAAATGTTGAAATAACGATTTGGTGTTCAAGAGAATGATTTAAATTCCAGTTGAATGATCACTGGGTGATCAAAACACGTGTCGAGTTGTTGAAATAATGATTTGGTGTTTCAATGGAAGATTGAACCTTCAGTTTGATGACCACTTGGTGATCGAAACACGACAAATAACGGTTTGGTGTTCAAGAGGAAGATTGAACTTCCAGTTTGAAGGTCACTTGGTGATCGAAACATATGTTAACATGTTAAAATAGCGATTTGGTGTTCAAGAAGAAGATCAAACTTTCAGTTTATTGATCACTTGGTGATCGAATCACGTGTCAAGGTGTTAAAATAACGGTTTGGTGATCAATAGGAAAATTTAACTTTCAGTTCACTGACCACTTGGTGATCGAAACACATGTCGAGGTGTTATAATAATGGTTTGATGTTTGAAAGGGAAATTGAGTTTCCAGTTTGATGATCATTTGGTGATCGAAACACGTGTCGAAGTGTTGAAATAACGATTTTGTGTTCAAGAGAATGATTAAAATTCCAGTTGAATTATCACTGGGTGATCAAAACACGTCGAAGTGGTCAAATAACGGTTTGGTGTTCAAGAGGAAGATTGAACTTCCAGTTTAATGGTCACTTGGTGATCGAAACAGATGTTAAGGTGTTGAAATAACGGTTTGGTGTTCAAGAAGAAGATCAAGTGTTCAAGAGGAAGATTGAACTTCCAGTTTAATAGTCACTTGGTGATCGAAACAGATGTTAAGGTGTTGAAATAACGCTTTGGTGTTCAAGAAGAAGATCAAACTATCAGTTTACTGACCACTTGATGATCGAAACACGTGTCGAGGTGTTGAATTAACGGTTTGGTGATCAATAGGAAAATTTAACTTTCAGTTTGCTGACCACTTGGTGATCGAAACATGTGTCGATGTGTTGAAATAATGGTTTGGTGTTTGGAAGGAAGATTGAGTTTCCAGTTCAATGATCACTTTGTGATCAAAACACGTGTCGAAGTATTGAAATAACGATTTGGTGTTTGAGAGAATGATTAAAATTCCAGTTAAATTATCACTGGGTGATCAAAACACATGTCGAGGTGGTCAAATAATGGTTTGGTGTTCAAGAGGAAGATTGAACTTCCAGTTTAATAGTCACTTGGTGATCGAAACACGACAAATAACGGTTTGGTGTTCAAGAGGAAGATTGAACTTCCAGTTTAATAGTCACTTGGTGATCGAAACAGATGTTAAGGTGTTGAAATAACGCTTTGGTGTTCAAGAAGGAAATCAAACTATCAGTTTACTTGCCACTTGGTGATCGAAACACGTGTTGAGGTGTTAAAATAACGGTTTGGTGATCAATAGGAGAATTTAACTTTCAGTTTACTTACCACTTGGTGATCGAAACATGTGTCGAGGTGTTGAAATAATAGTTTGGTGTTTGGAAGGAAGATTGAGTTTCCAGTTTGATGATCACTTGGTGATCGAAACACGTGTCGAAGTCTTGAAATAACGATTTGGTGTTCAAGAGAATGATTTAAATTCCAGTTGAATGATCACTGGGTGATCAAAACACGTGTCGAGTTGTTGAAATAATGGTTTGGTGTTTGAAAGGAAGATTGAACCTCCAGTTTAATGACCACTTGGTGATCGAAACATGTCAAATAACGGTTTGGTGTTCAAGAGGAAGATTTAACTTCCAGTTTATGGGTCACTTGGTGATCGAAACAGATGTTAACGTTTTAAAATAACGGTTTGGTGTTCAAGAAGAAGATCAAACTTTCAGTTTACTGACCACTTGGTGATCGAAACATGTGTCGACATGTTAAAATAATGGTTTTGTGTTTGAGAGGAAGATTGAGTTTTCAGTTGAATGATCACTTGGTGATCGAAACACCTGTCGAAGTGTTGAAATAACGATTTGGTGTTCAAGAGAATAATTTAAATTCCAGTTTAGTGACCACTTGGTGATCGAAAAACGTGTCGAGGTGGTCAAATAACGGTTTGGTGTTCCAGAGGAAGATTGAACTTCCAGTTTAATGGTCACTTGGTGATCGAAACAGATGTTAAGGTGTTGAAATAACGGTTTGGTGTTCAAGAAGAAGATCAAACTATCAGTATACTGACCACTTGGTGATCGAAACACGTGTCGAGGTGTTGAATTAACGGTTTGGTGATCAATAGGAAAATTTAACTTTCAGTTTACTGACCATTTGGTGATCAAAACATGTGTCGACGTGTTAAAATAATGGTTTGTATTTGAAAGGAACATTGAGTTTCCAGTCGAATGAGCACTTGGTGATCGAAACACTTGTCGAAGTGTTGAAATAACGATTTGGTGTTCCAGAGGAAGATTGAACTTCCAGTTTAATGGTCACTTGGTGATCGAAACATATGTTAAGGTGCTAAAATAACGGTTTGGTGTTCAAGAAGAAGATCAAACTATCAGTTTACTGACCACTTGGTGATCGAAACACGTGTCGAGGTGTTGAATTAACGGTTTGGTGATCAATAGGAGAATTTAACTTTCAGTTTACTTACCACTTGGTGATCGAAATACGTGTCGAGGTGTTGAATTAACGATTTGGTGATTAATAGGAAAATTTTACTTTCAGTTTACTGACCACTTGATGATCGAAACACGTGTCGAGGTGTTGAATTAACGGTTTGGTGATCAATAGGAAAATTCAACTTTCAGTTTACTGACCATTTGGTGATCGAAACACGTGTCGAGGTGTTAAAATCATGGTTTGGTGTTTAAAAGGAAGATTGAGTTTTCAGTTTAATGATCACTTGGTGATCGAAATACGTGTAGATATGTTGAAATAACGGTTTAGTGTTCGGAAAAAACTCCAGTAATATTCATTACTACACCAAATGTTCCAAACAAATTGTGAATTCTAATGAGAAATATCGTAACCCAGTTGATAATATGAGTCTAGGAGCTATCTTGTGGTACTTTCGATAATAAAATAAACCCAAATTAGAGCTATTATTTTTCGCTTGTGTGCATATATGAAATATAGGACAAATTGTAAAAGTCTCTGTACAAATGGCAATGATGGATAGACACACGGAATAATTGAGCTGTAAAAAAGCACTTTGAAAATGTTCTATTGGGAGTGAAACGTTTATTAAGGCATGAAATCTTGTGTCACGCACAATTGTAAATTTAGTGACGTCACAAATGGTGACTCCATACCGTTTCACGTGCCGTGAAGTTATGGACCTATTCAAAATGTAACGTATACTCTATAATTTTATGTTTCGTTCGATTCATAAAATTTCCAGGTTCACAACAAGTTTTTCAATACTTAGATTTGTGAATAGTTTCATTTTGAAGTTTTGCTAATCTTCCAACTACTGATGCTAAGATGTATAAGAAGTAAATAAAAAATTCTATTACCTAGCAAAATTGTTTCGATGAAATTATGAATATCCATTGAATCGAATTCACATAAATTAGTACATGAAAAATAAATTACTTTATAGCTGTTTCTAATTTCAATGTTTGTTGGAGGTTGAAATGGGCAAAAATATGTCTTGGCACAATCATGTCGCTGGAATTGCAAAGGCTGCTTCTCGAAAGCTTAGAACACTGTTTCGAACCTGAAAACTGTACACACCTCAGCAATGTTTGATGCTTTATAAAGCTCAGTGTTCGGTCTCAAAATCTTGCTATCGAAATTTTAATTCTTTAAATAGTGAATTGTGAATCTTAAATTTTCAGTATTTAGCCTAGAGTTAGTTACCTGCTCTGAAATGTCTGCAACAAAGTAGATTGTTATATTGCATTATTTTTATTTTAGAAATCGTTAACTAATCTTGTTCGAGTTATTTAGTTTTCCATTATTCTTAAGAGTCTCCCAATCGGGGTTTTTCAGTTGGTCTTCTAGTGGTCTTCTAGTTGGTCTTCTAATCCACTTATACTCATGAAACTTAATATTTTCGAATATCTTTACCTAAACAATCTGTATATTTAGGCCCGTATACAGGGTGTAACATAAATACGTTGAAATACTCAAGTGACGTAATCCTGAGACAATTTTGAGAAAAAAAGTATATATGAACTTGTGTCCGAAAATGCTTCGTTTCGGAGATACGGGGTGTTGAAATTGAATTTTTTTGTTCGCTTTTTGAAAATAAGTCTTGCAAAAAATTAGTTATTTGCATGAAATTTGATACCCAGGTTTTTTTTGACGTAGCCTAACTTTTTTGACAGTAAACTTTTGGTATGTTTAATGAAAAAACCTAATTCCCACACCTTTTTTAAGTAAAAAAGGTAGACATACTCAACAACGCTGGAGGTGATCGTTTTCGAGATATTTATAATTTTCTATATCGATGCATATCGATTTCAATAATTTTTGTAACTCTTCGGCAAATTAAGTCAATCAAATCGAGTAGGCTATGGAAGTTTGTTTACAAAAACAAAAATTCGCTGTCACATTTTCAACTGTCAATTGACAAATTCACAGTTTGGAGTTTATGAAGTGATTTTTTTTGGTACCATGCCTGACTTTACAAATGCTGAAATGGCTGAAAAGGTTTTTGCATACGGCTTGGCTGACGGAAATTCAAGCGAGGCCAGACGCATCTATCAGAAAAGGTATTCCCAACGCGTGACTCCTTCTGCAGCGATATTTGCGAATCTTTTCCGGCGAGTTTCCGTATCTGGAAGCTTTGAAACAAATTCTGCAGTAGGACGGCCACGGACTATAAGAACTGCAGAATTGGAGGAGGCTGTTCTCGAAGAAATCAACCAAATTTCAAATGTGAGTCACATGACAGTTTACAGAATTTTAAAGGAACAGCAATTATATTCTTATCATATTCAGCGTGTCCAGGCACTTACACTACGTGATTTCCAACCACATATCGAATTTGCTCAATGGCTTCAAAAAAAATTGAACAACATCCGCAAATTTTATCGAAAATCCCCTTCACAGATGAAGCTAATTTTTCAAGAAATTTTATCATGAACTTCCATAACAACCACATCTGGGCAGAAGATAATTATCTTCTTCTTCTTCTTCTTCTTCTATCACAAACTCATTTCCAAGACAGATTCTCTTTTAATGTATGGGTAGGCATAATTGGGGATTATTCAATTGGGCCCTATTTTTTCCCCTTACGTTTGAATGGAGATGCTTACCTACCTACATTTTTTGGAACAAAAGCTTTCCCAACGTATGGAAGATGTTCCCATTGGTCTCCGAAATCACTCTTGGTTTATGCACGATGGAGCTCCTGCTCATTTAAGTGTGATAACAAGAAATTTTTCAGACTTAGCAAATCCCCAACGATGGATAGGAAGAGGAGGCACCAAGCATTGGCTCCCGAGGTCACCGGACCTCAATCCTGTTGATTTTTTATTATGGGCACTAGTTTGAGCTAGCCACATTGAAAACGAGGAAATGTTGAGGGATCACATCATAGCTTGATGCGAAACGATAAGAAACACTCCGGGCATTTTTTAACGGTGTGGAATTCTTTGATGAGGAGAGCAGAAACTTGTATTACTGTTGGGGGTCGTCACTTTGAACAGTTGTTGTAATAGTTGTTTCGTTCAATTTTTATATGTGTATTTTTCTAATAAATAACATAGCACTTCTCCGAATTTTTTTTTTACAAACTCCGAAATGTAGCACTTTCTAATTGAATAATTGAAGCTGACAAATGTTTTCAATTTGGATTGAAGAAGCAGTTCGATAATGCTCAGTTTAGAAGAAGTCTGTACGGGTATACTGCGTATAAAGTTTAATGGAAATAACTAAAATTGCAAAAAACTCATATGACAAAAACCTACCATGTTTTAACGAATTTCAACAATCTGTATTTTGAAAACGTACGTACGTACGTACGCAGCGCTCTCTAGATGATACATGAAAATTGATACGAAATTATGATTTCCCACCCCGGTTACCGAATTTCGTGCAAATAACTTATTATTTGCAAGAATTGTTTTCAAAAAGCGAACAAAAAAATTCAATTTCAACACCCCGTATATCCGAAACGAAGCATTTTCGGACACAAGTTTATATAGACTTTTTTTCTTAAAATTGTCTCAGGAATACGTCACTTGAATAATTTAACGTACTTATGTTACACCCTGTATATTGTAAGCTACAAATAGGTATATTTTTAATTCCTTTATTATTCCTTGTACCGCTCATCTTGAGACTTACCCGCTATTATCACCTTTTCCTATCTATGTTAATTCGAACCTCTTTCTCTACCTACAATAACCAAGCTGACCCCCCTCTCTAACTAGCTAGGTGAAATATTGTATTTGTGAAATCATGTTTATTACATTTTGAACTTTGTAGGAGTACAGAATAAATATTTTCTTGTCTTCAGTACATCTTGCCAGATATTTTTCTCATCTTACGTTTTCACATGAGTTGAAATAATTCTTGTGTGTATTAAGTATTCATACTCACGATAGAATAATCGTGGGTAAAAACACTCAGATCAGATCTTGTTTGGAGTATTGTTCTCATGTATGATATCAATTTAGAGTTTTCGGAAAGAATTATATTTTTGATGTTATTCACAAATTGATACCTATCATTATAATGAGTCGTGGTTTGAAATAGTGTAGAATTGAATTATTTCAATGAGCATTATCGAAACTTTCACGAATGGAGTCGTTACACACTAAACCACAGGTCTGATTAATTAATTAGTTTTATGTAATTTGATTAGAGAATGAAGTTTGGGTTGTGGTGGATTTATTTGGGGATACTTATTACACCTAAATGGATAAAATGACCTCATTTCTCATGCACTTGAAATTTATTATTTAATTTTTTCAGAATTTGAAAGACCAGATTCTAACGACCAATGTTTGGTTAGAACATGTGAGTAATGATAGAAAAGAGTTGAATGAAGTTGTAGAAGGAATGTTTTAGGAATGGCAAGATCATAAGTTCATGTGGGATCCACAGGAATATGGGGGAGTTACGGAGTTGTATGTACCATCAGAACATATATGGCTACCAGATATAGTTCTATATAATAAGTAAGAAAAATATTTTGATTATTTTCTCAACTTTCCTTCCATCATCGTAATTTCAATAGTATTATGATTACTGGTAATTTGTGGGTGGGATATTGAGGTACATCTGGTTACTCAAGAACAAATACATTGATCAACACAACTTTTTCAGTGCTGATGGAGAATATGTGGTAACAACGATGACGAAAGCCGTCTTGAGGCATACGGGAAAGGTTCTTTGGACTCCTCCGGCTATCTTCAAATCTTCTTGTGAGATTGATGTGAGATATTTTCCTTTCGACCAACAAACTTGCTTCATGAAATTCGGCTCATGGACCTACGATGGCAACCAGGTATTTCAATTTCAGTGCATGATTTCAGAATTATGAATCAAACGGATTACCTTGAATGACTCTCGATTTCGATCCTGTCTAAGGATCTCATAAATTTTAAAGCTTCATTATCACAGCGCTTCGATTTCAATTTGGGAAACTCTGGTCGACACATTTTTCAGTCTGTTGAGCATCATCAGTACTGGGCCGTTGGGCCTCCATTGAAAAGAAATTGTGAAGGGCCAATGAGGGTACCTGATACTTTGGTCAGTGGATTTGATACAAAACAAAAACAGGAAATATTCATGGATAACGCATTTCAAGAATTCAAACTGTTGACACGTGTTTCTAGCTCACAAGTTGTTGTCATCGGTAGAAGATTAGTCAACACTTGGTTGCAGGAAACAGCAAATGATCTGATCGAAACAGCCACCGTCGTGTTCAGTTCAAGAACTGATCGCGATTTGAGTGTTGAAATTAGATATTTGCAGTTATAATAACTTGAAATTTCCAGTATCTGTTTAAAATGTGGTGTCCTTGGACAAATACTGATAGTAATAACGAGTGTGATAACAACGCAGACTGTTTTCAGTGTGGTCATTCCAATAGCGATGGTGAACAATGCGAAAACGAGATACCAGTGAATAAGTTCGGGATGCATTCGAATATTGAAACACAGAGAATATGTTTCAAAGTATATAAGAATCTACAGCTCAAGTTTGGTTTCGGGGAAAACAAACTATTACAAGCAACATCAGATTTGACCAAAATTCCACCTTTCTCAACTGTAAGTAAAATAGTCAAAGACAAACCTTATGAACGCTGGACGGGATGTGATACAGGATTAGCAAAACTTTCAGATATTCATCTAATGAAATCATCGAAAAAAAATATACGACTGTTACAAAAGCAATGAGATTGCTACAACTGAAATCATAAGAAAAAAGTTGAATATTTCCGGCCGTAACGTGAGCTGCTGTTACAAAACTCTTAAGAATTGTATAAAGAAACTGGGATTTAGATTTGAAATAATGAACAAACGCCAAGCAGTTATGGAAAGTAGAAGAATAATGGAATTGCCTAATAATACTTAGAACAAATAACTAAATATAGACAAGAATAACGGCAGATTTTCTATTTGGACGAAACTTGGTATGACACTCACGACACAGTTACGGAAGGGTGAACTGATGGTTCGAGTATGTGTACGCCTAACATGCCTGCATTGCAGATGGAGTGAAGGATGGGTTCCGAATTCTTCGAAATTATGTGAAAAACACTTGAGGACTGCTATGATGACTACCATAGAGCATGGAAGCTAAAATTTTCGAGGAATGATTTGAAAACACATTAATCCCAAATTTGGAAACGCAACATATGGAAACCCATCAGCAAACGAAAAATGGCCAACTCGAACGACCTATAAATAGTCATCTCTCGGAGGAATCAGTCCAGTCATCACCGGAAGATGATTGTAGATACTAACAATCGAAACGTCGTGAACTAACGTGACTTGGAATCTCTCCATTTTTTATTTTTATTTTCCTTTTTTCATTTCTTCATTTTTATTTATTCAATCGTTCTATTTTTACTTGCATTTTATTTCACTATTATTTCATTTCAGGTTTATTTTGGTTGATATAATTGTTATTTTCAGCTATTCATTTTCAATTCTTCTTCTTTAGTTGTTTTAGGGATTTCAGATCATTTTATATAGTAGACAATGGAAGTCAGAACTAGTGAAATTAATCCCAAATTTGGATGCGAATAGTGTAATAGTTCTTGACAACGCTTCCTATCAATCGCGACAACTTATCAATGTATCGGATAAAAATTCGAGGAAATATAGAATACAGAGTTTTTTAATGGAGAACAATTTGTATTTTGAAGATTGCTATACCAAAAACCAACTACACGAAGTTTTACAGACTAAAACGTTTGAAAAAGTGAATGCCCTTGAGATTATTGCTGGAAAGTATGGACACACCATACTGAGACTTCCCCATTATTTTTGTATTTTCAATCCCATCGAGTGGATATGAAGAAAATTGAAACAAAGCATCAGACGTAAAAATAATTTCCCAAAATTCAATAAATAGGAAGTTTATAGACATAAGTAAAAAAGAAGTATCCAATATTACCGAAAAAGACTGGCAGAAAGGGATTTAAAAAGTAATTTTAGTTGAGAAAGAATATATGGAGATTGGACACTTTCATATTAATGGTGGAAATAAATTCATTATTGATTTAAATGACGACAGTGATAGTGAAACGGAGAATATGAAAGAGGAAGTATCAGACACTTTCGATGAAAGTTAGTGAAGTATTTTTGAAGCGATCGATTGTATTATTATTGCATTATAGGGTTTATTATACCGTACTGATGATAACGAATGAGCCAGAAACATGTGTCAATACGTGTCTTGGTGTTCGATATAATTCGAAAGGGAGGGAGCTCGCGGACCAGCTTGCATCAGAAATTGAGGAAAATTACCCAACTGTGTTTCTGGCTATTGGCCTCATCATCGCAGTCCAAATTAAAGATGGACATCATCTTGTTACCGAAGATAGAAAACATACATATGCAAGAAATCATCAACAGTGCCATACGCACATTTGTGGTTACAGTTAGAAGACCTAGAATTTCTAAAAATCATCCGAATACTCAAAGGCGTTTACGAGTATGTTTGATCTGAATTAAAAAATGGAAATCCCACACTAATATGTGATACTTTCCATTCCAGTAACCAGTTGTTAGTGTCTGCAGTATGCTGTATAATGTCCTCTGTTAGTAGTCCCACTGTGATTTAAAAGTGCATATAGATTTATTATATCTCTATCTACAATACTTTTTAGGCATTCAAAACCACTTTTAAGCACCTACCATTTATATAATTATCTATGATAATATTTGTATACAAAATTTTCATAATGAATTTCTTTTGAATATAAAATTTCTCATTGGTTTTTCGTTTGTATAACCTCATTGTATTCAACAGATTGTTCAATTCGAATGCAAAATTCATGAATACGACAAGTTTCAGACTAATTGGACCCTCCAGAGGTTTATATTACACAGTAACTTTTCCGAGTGAACATCGGATTGAACTTTTATTACAATTCAGCAGACGTATTCCAAAAACACTATTGTGAGATTTTCACTAGATTGTTTTACAAAAACGCAACACGTGTTTCGCCATACAATGGGTTCATCTGGCGTGTCTTTCAACTAATTCTACACATTCGATACTAAATATATATATAGTTTATTGAGTACCTGAAATCAAAGTACCTGTAAACGAAGTACCAAATTTTAAGTAGCTGATATTTTACCTGAGTTTCTAACGAATTAAATTACCTGCACTTATTTTCCACATTTGAAAAAATATTCAGTAACGGAGAGTTATTGAGTTCTAATTGATCATTCAGTAAATTACCCGAATTCCTGAATCTATTGATTTCTAAACATTCTAGAAGATTAAGTTTCAAACTCTTCTCTTCTAAATGTAACACCTCGTACTCATGATTGAACTCATGTCCTTCTGCTAAAAGATGGTTTGCAAATGTGGAATTGGTCTTTCTATTTACAAAACTACTCCTATGTTCTTTAATTCATTGGAAAAATGTTCTACCTGTTTGGCCAATATACAGTTTTGGACAAGAGCCACAAGTCAGCTTATATACTCCTGATCTATCCGACACCAAAGTTTTGTCCTTATTGTTTTTAATAAATTTACTTAGATTATTATTCGTTCTATAAGCTACGTTTACGCCTTCTTTCTTCAAAAAACGGGCAATATTCCTGTTTGGTTCACCCACACATGTCGATGTCTTATAACTAACGTTATCGCATCTTGAATATGGGTAGACCAGATTCATGGCTTGCTTTTGTCGTTTTTTGAAAAAAATGGAGTTTACAATATCTACCTTATAACCGTTAATTATCGCGATTTGTTTAATCAAATTCAGCTCTTTCTGGAAATCCCTATCAGACAGTGGAATATTCAATAATCTGTGAAGCATACTATTGAATGCAGCAACTTTATGCTGGTACGGGTGTGTGGAGGAATTAAGTCCAGGTAATTTATTGAATTATTTACCTCCCTCTCAGTGGTGAATTTTATTGACGGGTGGATGGAATTGGCATATGCAATGAACTTGCCTAATTGCCTATCTGTACCAGTAAAACATACTGAGATATCATCTACGTATCTGTACCAGTACAAAAAATTGTTGGCTAACTGATTATTATGGATTTCATACTCTATGTTATCCATGAAAATTTCCGCCAGTAAGGGACTCAAAGGGTTCCCCATTATTAGTCCTTCATTGCATGAATAGAATTCTCCGTCAAACTGGAAATAATTTTGAGACACACAAATGGTGAGTAAATCAACAATCTCCTGTTCTATCAGTGGATTCACGTGGTTTTTGTCTAAGAGACACTCCACTAGTCCTATTGTTTCTGTTGGCGGAATACTGGAAAATAAATTTTGGACATCGAACGATATTAATTTTGAGTTATCTGGGAGGATTACGTCTTTAATATTATCCACTAATTGATAAGAATCATTTATACTTAATCTAGGCTTGAAATTGGTATGGGTTTGAATCAATTTAATCAGGATTTCTGAGATTTTAACGGTAGGTGCCGTTACGGACGATAGCACTGGTATAATCAATGCTCTACATTTATCCTTTCCATTCATAACCAATTCTATTGTTTTGAGAGTTTCCTTGACCTTTTTCTGGTACATAGTTGTCGGATCCTTCCTCAGAATCTCGTAGCTTCCTGAATTGAGGAAATCTAGAGTTTTTCCTATGTAGTCCTTTTCATTTAATGCAATAACCGTTCGACCTTTATCTGCTCTTGTGAAAATCACTTCATTATCTTTAACTTTTTGCTTAATTGATTTTGCAATTCAGCAGATTCTCTCTTGATTCAGCAATTTATCAGATTGTGTTACAGTCCAGAAAACCGTAAGATAAATTCACTATAAGTGGTCTGTTCAAAAAATAAAGTGAATATTTTAATTTTGCGGGTTATGCTCATTCGACTGATCATTTTTCTCATTTTTTTATGTCGGTATACTCGTCTCGAATATGTTTCACAGTTCCAACTGTTTAGCATGTTCAGTTTGTTGGTGAGACACATAAAGTGTTCGGAAATTTTCTGCTACCGAAAAAATGGGTCAAGGAATTCGCATCAAATTTTGTGTAAAAAAAAATAAAAAGAAGTGCTAAAAAATACTTGAAATGTTGACAGTGATTGACGGTGATTGTTCTCTGAGCCGAAAAAATGTTTAAAAGTAGTACAAGCTCATTATAGAAGGTCGAGAAGATATGAATGACGACGCTCACGCTGGACGACCCAGCACATCAACAACTGATGAAAATACAGATTTGTTCAGGGATTTCGAATCAATTTATATTAAATTAGACAATGGAAGTCCGAAATAATGAAACACACCACGAAACATTGTCAACCACCTTCAAACAAAATTATAGAAGGTGCTGAGAATGTCGGCATATTAGTTGACTCATACCAGGCAATTTTTTCTTAAATTTTGGGCAGCAAAGTTCGTTCCAAAATTGCTGAATTTTGACTAAAAAAAGTCGTATGAGCATCACTCAGAAATTGTTGAATGACGTCAACGTCAATCCATATGGTTGTGTCATCGAACAACCTAAACCAAAAAAAGCACGCCAAGTTCGATCAAATGTCGAAGTTCTGCTCACTGTTTTCTTTGATTACCGCGGCGTAGTGCATCAGGAATTTTCACCAAATGGTTGTACGTTCAATGAGGAGTATCATTTTGGAGTTATGCGCCGCTTGCGTTGAGTAATACAAAGAAAACGTCTTGCATCGTGGAAAAACAATTCATGGCTTTTGTATCACGATAAAGTACCTGCTCACTTGTTATTGCTTGTTCGCAATTTTTTTGCCAGGAACACGTGCCTCTGACACCATATTCACCAGTTCCCCCCCAGAAACTGTTTCCGGTATCCAAGATTGAAGAGATACATAAAAGGGCGGCGTTTTGCAACGATTGAGTAGGAGATAAAAAAAGTTCATCTTATTTTTTGAACTGAGTAATATACTAATCGAATAATTATATTCGCAAAATTTTGAAAAACTATCGAATATAATTTACAGTTTTTCTTGTTTTCTCATATTTGACTAACTGGGGGAAATTTCTGTAAATATTTGTAGATCGATTTGAAACATATCAATCAAAAAGTGGGAGAAGATAAAGTTGAAGTTGGAATCGACTTGAGAGAGTATTACCCAAGCGTCGAGTGGGATATCCTGGGAGTACCGGCAGAGAGGCACGAAAAATATTATCCTTGTTGTGCTGAACCCTATCCTGGTATGTATCGGTTATTTTCATCCAATCTTATTTTGTTACTTCAGTTCTGCACTTGATTTTTTTTATTTTGATCCTGAAGGAAGGAATTTGATATATTCGTGGTGACAAGTAGAATTATAAGGAATTCAAAGTCAAATTCGTGGAGATATAGATAATTTTTCGATATTGTGGAGCGTCTTTTTGAGCATCAACCACATTTATTGTGAGGAGTATTCAAACTATGGTCCCGATAGAATCATTGGTTATTATGAAAGAGAAAATGGATGGGGATATCAGGAAATATTTGAAATTTTATTTGATAATGAATAAATCCCAAAGTTTTTTACTTACTGATGTAAGTAAAAAACTGTGTTTTCCATGAGTTCTTTACTTTTCCTCTGTTATTGACCAATAATTAGTTGATCAGAGTGTTTTTTCTATAAAGTCTCCACATTGCCTTTGTTATTGATCGATAATTAGTTGATTTAGTACAATTGATGGATTGATGGATTCATTTCATTGAAGTAGATCTTCATGATATCATCGATTATTTGATCTCTATTAAAACTTCAGAGACTAATATGCAAACTAGAAACTAAAACGCTATGAAACATTGAGGTTTTCCAAAGTTGTATTGGAGAAGAACAAAATTTATGTAGTTCCAGTACTCTGTTGGTCATTTCAGTGCTACATATTTTTTTTAACACCATATTTCTTTCAAATTTGTTTTTTGGTTTTAATACCACATCTTTGTTGATGAGGAAAATTTCACCATATGATACACTGTGGCAAAATTTCTCAATATAAATTCAATCGATTTTTTATTGTATAGTGAATTTCATTACCGTCACTAGGATTTGAATTTCGTGAGTCTCTACTTATCAAAATTGAATTTGTTAAAGACTGCAATCAAATGTCATCTGATTTTGAAACAAAAAATTTTTTCCCCATTATATCACTGAATCACACATCACACATCCAATTACACATCTGTTCACACATCCTGCATAGAGTTGTGTTCACTAGTCTCATATCATAGAGGTATTTCCTAAGTTGACAGTGGCCAGTCAGAAATCCTACTGTTTTCCTGATCATCGCCAGATATTTCTTCGGCGCCAGCTTCTCAGGGTCGACCAGGGTGATTCTGGCGCAATTGCATCGTTTGATTACATCCCATCTTTTTAAGGATTGAGCATGGATGTGACGTTTGGCTAGTTCCGCAATTGTCGAAGTCATCAGGTAGTAGATGTCACTGGGTCCTAAAATTCTCAGTCCAGCCGCTTCCTTGGCTGAAGAGTCGGCAAGCGATTACCTTGACTCCTGTAGTGCCCTTCATCGTTTATATTCGGAAACTTGTGGTTGCATACCAAGGAATAGTTTGAAAACGTCGAATCATTTTTTCCTAGTCTGAAGGACCTTTCATGTTCAGCAAACCTTTCTGAAATTTCGTCCGCATTGTCCCACATAAACACTATTACACTCCGGACACATAAGTTTATAAACTCCAGATTTTTCCAACTTGTCGACCTTATATTTGCCATTGAAAAGGAAATGAGATAACCTGGCATGTAGTCTGAATGGAACTTCCACATTGTTTTTTCTGAGGAAACCTGCGATTATTTCTGTTCTTTTTCCAAAATATGTTAGCGTTACCCATTTCTTGATTTCTGGTTGTTTGACCTGAGGATATATTATTCTGTGAGTGAATTTCCGGTTTTGTTTCCTGACTAACTTCTGGATAGTATCTGCATTGAAACCATTAATATGACCTATCTGTGTAATTGTATCAATTTCCCTAGCTAGATTGTCTGCAGACAAAGGAAGTGAGAATGCTCTGTGCAACATTGAGTTATAGGCTGCTGATTTATGACTGTCTGGATGGAAAGAATCGTTTGGGATGGTAATGTCTGTATAGCTAGGTTTTCTGAAAACATTGAACTCGAATTCATTATGATTGTGTGTAATGGCCAGGTCTGAGAAATTTATATGTTTTACATAGAGAAACATCTGTTTTATCTGTTTAGATAAAATTATTCGACATCTTCAAACCACTCCTTGACATGGAACCACAAGTTTCCGAATCTAAACGATACGGAAATTCTCCACTATACAAGGAAGGGTTGCAAACTCAATTATTTATAATCCTTAGAAATGTACAAGCATAAACATTGCGAGTGCAACTTGTTGAATGATCAAATCGATTCAATTTACTCTCCGGTTTTTAAATTGGCACATTCGCATTGCGAACTGTAAATTCAGGTACTAAATTAGTTACCTGAATGGTATATATTAGCGAATGTAATGAATCATTGTCAGTTTATTGTATTAGTTTGAGAATGTCCGTATAGCACGAAACTGCAGTAACGTTAGTTACAATTAAAAGTGGTAAAAACATGGAAATTTTCATTTCTCTTTTCATTATGATCTCCTACCACGTAGTAACGGCTACATCCATTAATTTACTAATATGGCATTTCTGCTATCAGTGCAGATTGTTATGTTTTTGCCAGAAATTCCTTTCCTGGTTATTTCTTTTGTGGCAACTGAGATACCAGCCAGTTCTGTTTGAACCACCCTGGTAATTTTTTTCCATCCTCCACTTAATCCTTAGGCCTAGTGATCTGAACTACACTCCACATCCTGAGACTTTTTTGGTTTTTGAGCCGTCTGTATATATGCGTATCGCATTTGTAGCATCTAACTCTGACCAATACATTTTTCCAGTATACATTTCTGAACCCTGAGCTATTGGTACTTAGAATGTGTCATAGTTACGAATTTCACTTGAAGTGTCTTATACCTACTGAAGGTATCACCCTAGAAATTACTTTCGACATTAGACAAGTAACAGGTTAGCACTTGTGTAAGTAGGCTTCATATATTCCAAGTGAATTTTAGTATGTCGACAAAGTGAAAGCCGTTTTCATACATCCAGTAAAATACTTTCATAATTTTAATAACCTCCACTACCTCAACGGCGAAAAAAAAAGTTTTTATCATTCGAAAATGAACGAAGAATGCTAAAAACTAATCTCATAGTTGCGGTGGTGAAATACTGATGAAAAGTTGAAGTAATCCGTGGAGCCTCACACAACACACACATGTTTTTCTTTGCATTTCACCACAAGTCGAAGCAACACACGAATGATATTTCGCTGATTTATTTCCCTCACATTTTATTCGAGAATATTTCATTTATTCACCAGTGAAACCCGTTTTTGTTTATACAATTTTTCATTTGCATACGTTTTTCTTTCTTCTATTGGAAATATTTTTCATTGAACACAAACATCAAATGATATAACTTCCTTCTATTTTCAGATATCTTCTTCAACATCACATTGAGAAGAAAGACTCTCTTCTACACAGTAAATCTCATAGTACCTTGCGTCGGTATTTCGTACCTGTCAGTCCTTGTGTTCTATCTTCCTGCTGACTCTGGGGAGAAGATCGCCCTGTGTATCAACATACTGCTCTCACAAACAATGTTTTTTTTACTGATATCGGAAATCATTCCATCAACATCTTTAGCTCTACCGCTTCTGGGAAAATATATCCTCTTCACCATGGTCATGGTAGGGTTCTCGGTTGTGATCACGATCATAATACTGAACGTGCATTACAGAAAACCTAGCACCCACAAGATGGCGCCTTGGGTCAGAAGTTTCTTCATCAAGAGCGTGCCGAAGTTGTTACTGATGCGAGTGCCAAAAGACCTTTTGACTGAATTAGCCGCCAATAAGATTTCAATGAACAGATTGTCCATGAAGAAGAGAAATATGGATACCATGCCTTCTAGTAGATCGTCGTCTTCCAGTACGTCCAGCTCATCTATGAACAGACCTAGTGGGTGTAATGGCTTACACTCCACAACAAGCACTAGGTATGTTTTCATGTGTGTCTGAGATATTTTCACAAATACATTTTTAAAGCTGAAGGGAACTAACGGATACTTGACAAAAATCCACATCAGAACATACTATAGCCTGTCCAGGAATGAGAGAAACTACAGCAGTATGTCTAATAAATGAATATACAGAATTTTTTCTTGAAAAATCATATTCACAACAAACAAAATAACAAATCAACTACGACAAATGTGGAAATATGTTCAGTTTTAACCAAGACATTCTTCAACGAATTAGTATTTGAAAAAAATATTTTGTTTACTGTATAAACAGGAATGAATTCCAATAACAAGACATATTAATATTATTAACAAGCATGTTACAGTTTATATCTGCCTATATACACATAATACACATACATATACAGGGCTTTTCATCATGAGCGTTAATTAGCCGTTTCTGACAAACTATTCAACGGATCAACCTGAAAATTCCACAGTATGCATAGATCAATATGACCTACACGCCTAATCTATTTCAGACGAAGCGGCGTTTTCGCTTCTACTATAAAGTAACGGCTTCTTTGATTTTTCAGATGGAACACCCCGTATATAATATCATATTATGATTCATTATCACTTTGTCAACAAATTCATATACTATCTCCCTATACCTATCTATTACCGTTCAGAAGATATAAATTAATTTCGATATCTTTTTTACCAAAAATGAACTTTTATAAATGCTGATAATCTTGAACTCTCTTGCACTTAAACAATCAAATTTGAAATGGAGTGGAGAAGATTCCGAGTCATATTTTCATTTGCCTCATACAGGGTCTTCAAAAAATGCAGATACTTTGATCTCATGAAAAAATGAGTGTAACTCAATTGTTTCAAATGAAATACCCTGTATATTACAATATTTTTGAGTTCTACATCCAATTTTAGATTAACTTTGTTCAGATAATACCATTTCTATTTTGAACCGTTTTCGAGATAAACTGTTTCAAACGGAAACTGACGTGGTTTTCTTGCTCGACTTTGATGTTGAAGGTGTCTTCGATGTTGACGGTTCATCAAGACTATTTTCGCAGGACTCTGGTTCAAGGGATACAGGTACACCACCACATTCTGTGTGTAGGTTAGGTATATGCATTTCGAAGTTCCTGAAAATTGGCAAAAACAAAACCTTTTATTGTCTTTCACCAGTGGATGCAACGGTTATTTTAGCGGTTACCTCCAGCTCCAGCATGAACGTCCTGGAGACAAGGCAATGCCATCAATGCTTGCAAAAATCGTATGCACGACAGATTTTTTCATATAAATGAATATTTAGACTTCTCAAGGGGGTATTGTGTAAAAAAAAATCACCCTGTATTGCTTCTTACCAACTCAGTTGAGAATATCATTGTAATGACGTGAACTGTTCACTTGTATTTTGATTTTTTTCGTTTTCAGGAGGACCAAGACTGGGGTTTTGTAGCTATGGTTTTAGATCGCCTTTTTCTCTGGATTTTCATCATAGCGTCGATAGCAGGGACAATCTCTATTTTATGTGAAGCACCAGCTCTGTACGATGATACTAAACCTATCGATATGGAGTTATCATCGGTTGCTCAGCAGCAGTTTTTACCCGACTTTGAGAATATGCAATAATTAATTATGGTACTGCAGTAACAAATAATTCCTTACGATTCTTGTTCCAGATTAAATATGTTGGAATTTTTCCAAACTGAATTTCTAGATATATTTGCTGCTTTCCATTCATTTTCAAACGTTCCAGAAAAGGGACTGATGTTTTTCCCACGATTGGTGTGGAAAATTGGTTGATGCAATTCCAGAAATGATATAATTGATATGGGGAGTTACAGTAGAAAAAAGCGAGTTTTCTCAATACTACACAAAATATGTAGTCAATTGAAGGAACAAACTCAAACACACGTATAAAACTGTTTGAAGAGTTTTTAAATGAATTTGTCAT